CTGGGATAATTGCACTGCTGATGCCTGATGGTATATTGAAAGGTACAGTTAATGCTTAGAATATTTTATATTCTGACCTGTTTTACATGCTTTTATCTGGTAATCTGAGCAACTGATTTGAAGACAACAATATGCAATGGAACAACCATTGGTGAATTCTTAACATCTGTTCTAGTGAAACTACGTATTATCTCTAATGTTTTACCTAATAATTATTTTTTATTCTCTTTAACTGTTTGAACAATCTTCCATTCTTCCATCTGGTAATCTGAGCAACGCAGTTGAAGATAACAATATGTAATATAACAACCACTGTTAATTCCTATCATTTTTTTTGAAACCCTGTTAATACTTTTAAAGTGCTTGCTTTGTTGTGTTTATGTTTGTGATGTTGTTATGCTGCTATTGTTCTTTTTTTTCTTTTACTACTCTCTCTAAAGTAAAAAAATACAAAAAAAGAAATTATTATGAACTTGATCAATGAGAGATGATCACAAAATACAGTGAACATTTCAATTAAAAAATGTAGTACAATAAAAGATGCATTGCAATAAATCCACCTCATATTTCCCCTCACTTTACACACCCTTATCCCGTCATTTCTGGCAGTGTGTCCTTTAGTGTAATAAGTTTTTTTCTTTTAATATTCCCCATACCTTTCTATCACTACTTGTAATATGGTATATTTCAACTGCATTTTAAAAATAAAATAAGAATACAGACAACTCTTTATATGCTTAAATTACCAATTACAAAATGAAATAGTAAATTGGCAGTAGAAAAATCTGACAGGCAAAACTTGACTCCATACCAGTGCAGCATAGGGACAATATGATACATAATATGTTGAGATGTTCACATCACCACTTCCATAACTTTATAACCCAAGGTTCCAACCTGAATCCAATCATGAGGAATGTGAGAAATGCAAATGTAAGACACCCTAAAAGTAACTATCCACTTCAAAAAATATTAAGGTCAAGACAAAGAAACGCTAGATAACTATTCCAGATTAAGAACAATGAAAACAACAAGAGAAAGGCCACACCAACCAGTAAGTGGATCAAGGCTGTCTGCAGAGGCTAAGGACTTTGCTTGGAATAACCCTGGGATTCAGTGGCACAACTGGGATATCTAACAACCAAAGCTCACTCTATGTGCTAGACCCGAGAGGTTAAAAACAACCTCCTAATACTCTTGCATTTAAAAAATATTTTTAGCCTTAAACATTTTTAAAAGCTTGTACAATCTACTATGAGAAATATTATGGCAGGTACTTAACCTTCATAATTTAACATTTACAGTTTTAAATACGCATTGATAACCATGAAAAACAAACTGAATAAAACAAAATCATATACACTCTGTCACTTATAAAAGTAGAGAAAATACAGGTATTGAAAGAACCTAATCAACCATCTATATTGAATGTGCAAATAATAAAAATTTTAGTTTTTAGGGAGAGAAAATAATCTCTACAAAAGCCACTAGCCACACTAATAGTAAAAGTAATGAATTCAACAAGAAGTCCATAATGCTGTTATCTAGAAACTGAAGCTATTCCCTTCATTTAATAGGGGAAATCATGTATTCCTGGTAATATTTTCATATCTGATTTCACACATAATTTCTACAAAATGATGGGAGCATAACAAACTTATTTGTCCAAAATTTCTCTAAGTTTCAGCTAAAAGATCATTCCTGTACTTCTTTTATGTATTTATATAACAATTATAGTAAGATATAGCTGAACATCAAAGAAAACACTGACAAGAATATCTGTAAATGAGAACACAAGGAATGTAGTAGTTTCCGCTGTACCTGATGATGCTGAAGTTAAAGAGTATGAATTTGAAAAAGCTAAAACATAACACACAATCGTCTCTCACACATACACAAACACAGATGCTTCAGGCCTCATCACTCATTTATTTACTTCTGTATGTCTGGTTCTATCCTAAGAAATCAGTACCAAACAAATCCAGAGAGAAATTTAGCCCTGAACAAATCTCACAATTTCTCATGTTATGTCATATCTTACAGTTAGCCCTGGATAGATAGAGATGATCCATAAATTAATATGAGCTGTATCATCAAGTGGTTTTAAGAAGTATGAAGAAAAATACAGCAGCAGAACAAGAAGACAGTGAAAGGAGATGAAATTTTGGCTGGAGTGGTCCCAGAAGGTTTCTCTTGAGAAGAGCCATCTGAGCAAAACTCACAGGGAGTCAGGGATCGGTCATGAGGAGTCTACAGTGGGAGAGAAAACAGCACCCAGGCTGCAGACAATAGCTGAGAGAGACATCTGAGGAAGACCAGGCGCTATGCAAGGGTTCTGAGCAGGACCAGCATGATTTCTATTCTAACAGGATCATTCTGGCTACAGAGTGGAAAGCTTACGTTACAGAGGCTAGAATAAAAACAACATGAACTAGAGTTCTGTGCACCAAAGTGGCAGCAATAGATATAGACAGTTGCTAGATTCTATTTATTTTATTTTCAAAGTAAAAAAGACAGGATTGCTGAGGGACAGAAGATAGTGTTTTAAAAGATAAAAGCCCGGAATAACAATATGCCTTTCATGCCTATTAACCTGATATTTATTAAGAAGGAGTCTGAGAATGGAATATGTTAAGGAATGATACCAAATCAAGACACTTTGATATCTGTTAGGTTTTACATGCTTGTTAGTCATCAAAGCAGAGGTAGTAAGCAACTAAGTGTCCAGCTTCTGGGTGAAGAAGTACTGTATTACTAAGGAGATACAGATGTATAAAGAACTAATTATGTGTTCATGTATGTTTATGTGTGTGTATATAATGGTTGATACACTGTGTCAACTTGAGAAGTTTGGAAGTTTAACTCAGCAAGGGGCCAGGGTCCTTACTTTGTTAACATCCTGAGCTTGTGCAAGAGGAGGGCCACCGGAGATGGCGTGGGCAGGTAGCCGCCTTACAATATAAGGGAGAAGAGGTTGGCTTGCCCCGCCTTGTGCTCTTGCTGTTTTGCTGTCTTCTGTTGCCCTGAACTGTTGCCCCTCACCATGCCACCCTGCTTTGGAGCCAGCTGATTATGGACTGAAACCTCCACAAACTGTGAGTTAAATAAACCTTTCCTTCCTTAATTTTGGGTGTCAGGTATTTTGTCTTAGCAACAAGAGAAAAGTAACCAAGACAGTGTACATATAAAAACAACGAATGAAGGATACTTCAAGAAAGATAACATGAGGCAGGAGGGAGAAGAGAAACTGGAGCATCACTTCTATTTTGTTTTGTTTTTTGGTACCGGGAATCAAACTCTGGACTTTCTGCTTGGCAGGTAGGTGCTGTGCCACTGAGCTATATCCCCAGCCCCATCATGTTTTATCTACATTACCATGCGAAAATTTTGTAACCAAAAATGTATCACTCTAGTAATAAGAAGGGGTATTTCTTTTGTTCCCTCAAAGTAAACTAATAAGCTGAAGGAGTAAAAAATTAAACTCAAGAGAATTATGGAAAGAACAAAAGACTGCTATGAAAACAGTCAGAGACAACAATTAACTTTGTGAATTATTTGCTCCCAGGTTTTTTCTTAGACATTTACATATATACACAATAATATTCCTTTGTTAAATGTGGTTCATTTTTGTTTATTGCTTTAATACACAGGAGATAATCTAAACACTTAAGATGGCAGCCACAGAATTCAGACCATGTTTTTTCTTGCTAAGTTTTTATGCTTTTAAACTGAGCACCACTCTCTAGATGGCCCCTGCCATCACTCCCACCCACTTCACAGCACCCCTTACAGGAGCACTGCCTCGTGTCCAGGACCCGTGCACATTCCATCCCTGCTCCTCTGAGCTTTGTGGATGGGTCCTCCCTTGTAAAACCACCAGCATGTTTCTGTCTTACAAAGAACTCTCGGTATCCATAATCATTAAATGGCCATCTTTACATACAATTCTCTGTGCGCACTTCTAAGCTAGCATTGTATCTTGTACAAAGCACCACCTCAAGGAGTCACTGCTGGATAACCAATACAGTGAAGATTCTGACCAAAAATGGTTTTCCTTCAGTTCTTCAGTGTACACACCTACACACACATACAAACACACACACCTGAGCCAGCACGGTTTTGGACATTGGAGATGTAGCGGAAAATAAAACAGAACCTTTATGAACCCTATATGTTAGTGTATATCCTGTGGCGAGTGGAGGAGTGATAGATACAAATTTTTTAAAGATAAATTTAAATAGTGAAATGCACTATAAATAAAAGCACAACACAGGAGAACATAATAAGAAAGAGAGGGAGAGTAGCAAAAGAGAGGGGAAGCTGTTCAGCTACATGGCCAGAGAAAACCTCTGAAAAAACAACATCTGAGCCAAAGCCCCAGTGCAGAGGACTTGGCAAAAACCCTAGGGAACAAAGGATAGGAATCACAAGGGACTCAGGAGAGAAGACTAACAGGACAGAGGGAGCGAAGACATTGTAGGGAGGGAGAGAAAGAGAGAAGGCACTGTAGAACATTGCAGGAAGTGAGGGGAAATCATGGGTGACTTCAGTAGCCCCAGTGAAGAACCTTAAACTTTACTCCAGCAATGGAAATTACTGTAAAGTTATTTTTTCAAAGCATAATATGATCTGATACGGAATTACATAGGTCATTATGTCAGTCATATAGAGACCAAAGTGAAACGAAACATAAAAGCAGGGAGGTAAGGCCAGAGGCTACAAATGTAACCAGCCAAGAACTGAGTGGCTTGAGGCAGCATTTAACAGCTATGGTCATGAACAGTGTTCCAGCGCAGAATATATTTCGGAAATCATACCCACTGCACTTGCTGATGGGCCCAAGTGAAAAGAACCAGCTCCTTACCCATACCAGGTAAATTTTAGCCACACCATGGACTTGCTCTGTATTCACCATGCTGGTTTGTATCTAGAGGCAGCAGGTAAAAATTAGTTAAAAAATCAGTAATGAAATGTAAAACATAGCATTCTGCTTTACTTACCCAAATTAGGATCAGTAGGCTGACGCTTCTTAATTTTAGCTTCCGAAATAGCAGAGTAATAGGCACAAGTCATCTTGATCAGCCATGTTGCTCGAACCATTGGCACAGAGTATTTCGCTAAATACGCAAAAACATCTTCTTTTTTACTAAGGATAGGAACCTAAAATGAAATAACGTACGTATAATAATCACATACTGCATCACTAATAGAAAACTCTCCGACAAGGGAAGCAAAAAAAAGAAGTTGAAAGCTACCTGCTGCTATAAGAAAGTGTGTGTTTGATGGATTTCCAAATAGCACATGCAGTTGGGGGAGGGGTGTTTTAAGACAATATTTGATAAGAAAAAAGAACCAAAACTATGTTTAGCACAACAGCAAAACCATTTCATTAGCTGTATTTATAAAACAAATTATCTTCAAATTCTCAGATGCTTACAGGTACTCATCAACAAAGCAGAGAAAAATAATTTAATGAGAATCTTCCAAAGAATTGATCTCAAAATTGGAAGGGACAGATTACCTGGAAAAACTGTCCCCAGTCTACATTTTATCTATGAACATTTTTTTTATAAAGCTTTCTAACTACATTTCACAAAAGTAACAACTTCCAGAAAGCTTCTAAAACTGCCTTTAGCCCAAAATTTAAAAGAGGGGCTAACATTGATGGATCAGTGAATCTGCCTAATAAACACTGAGCTAGAAATAGCTGGGTAATTAATTCACTGGTTGGAAGTAGGCACTTGAGGCAGTTAATTATTTCTTCCAGACCACAAAGGTACTATTTAGCAAATTAGTATCCCAGTGTACCACTGAGTGATTTGAAAGAGTTAATTCACTCTTCTGGAATACCTCATAAATATCCTAGGAATAGCCTGTTCATCTACATAATCTATTTCATTTATGAATATAGAGAAAAACAGTGAATAAGAGTACATTAGCTACAATGCAGCAGGATGGGATCAGATAGACCGCGAGGTGAGACATCTGTACTCCTGTCCTGAGCCTTGCCTTTGGGGGTTAAGACCCTCACACCCTGATTCTTCACTTATGGACGCTGATAATACCAACCCTGTCCACTTCACAGGGCGCTTTTAAGGGTAAAGCAAAATAATAACATGCATCAAAATTATAACAATAATTAATTTGCTACCAGTTCCAGGGATTTCTCCAGACCAGAGTTTTCAAGGCACGGATCTGACCTTCTACGAGGACCCTGGAGATAAGCATGGACATCAAGAGCCCTTATCTCCATGCCCAAACTGTTACTCGATCTTGCAAACTGTTGAAAATCAAGGCTGCAAACTACCTAAACTATTCATAACGCATAGCATTTTTCTAAGTTCAACAAATCCTCATTTATACAGTGGATTTTTCTGCTTTGTATGTTATAAATTTTACTATTCACAACATAATACAAAGAGTAATCCTATAGTTAAAAGATCTGTATTTTTTTAACATGACGCCTACAAGTAATCTAATTATTTCACCTAGTCTTACCCAAGAAACACCAAACTATTTCCCTGTCAAAGGAAACGCTACCTGTGCTGGACAACGGGCTGCACTATGTCCATGCACTGCATTTCATAGGAAAGCAAAGAGACCTTTGATCATGGATAGCTCCTGCCTTGGGTGCTGACTTCACGGTGCAGCCCTGGGACAGAGGCAGCTACATTGCATAAACATGACTAAAAGAGAGATCAAAGGCACGCGAGCCAAAGCTGAAGGCTTCCTCTCTGCAGAGCACATTTTAACAAGAAAATTTCCTGAAAATTTAGCTTACAAGGCACAAGTGAGTTTACTACAAGTCAGGGACAAGAAAAGCACAGGATTAAGTACTCATTCAAGACCTGAGCAACTGCTTTTCATTGGAACACAAAGTATGGTACCAGTGGCTTAAATTTTAGCTGTCCAAGTTAGGTTGCTTCTTATTGAGACATATCGAAAAGCTATAAGAGCAATGCATAAAAGCACAAATATAAAGTTAGTATTTCCAAAGAATCACTACTAGTACAGTACTATCTTTTATAGCTACTTAAAGAATTTCTTTTGCATGGCATCTGCCAAGAACAAACAGTAAAAAATTCTGAACATGCAAAATATTTAGATGAAATGGCATACAAACCTTAGCCACATAGCTTACATGAACAGCACAAGGAATACCTCTGCAGGTAAAACCCTAAAAGAACTGGTTGACTCCAATAAGGGCTTCAGAATTGAGACGAATATATGTGAAAGAAGTTATTTAATTAAGGAAGACACGTATCAATGGTTTTGTCAAATCTACAGTTTGAGCCAAATCAGGAAGCAAATGATGTTTGCACGATGCCTTGCTCACTATGACGGATTCCCATTTTTTTTTCACTGAAGAAACCATCTGACTTTAACTTGTAGTTCAGTGTAGGGAATCATCAGGCAGCATTTGATTCCTGAATCAAGATAACAGCTACATCTAAATGGATTTTAGTTTCCAAAGGAAACGAAGAGGCCTGGTGTGTCATTTCTCCACCTACAACAGGGCTTCCTCCTCTCTCCTCTCCTCAGAACACACACTACCATCAGTGCCCTTTGCTGGCTAAGCAGGGAATGAGCCAAAGGAAATCCCCCAGGCCACAGGAACCCAGCTCACCCAGAGCGAAAAGCTAAGAACTAGTGAATTGTTCAAGAGCTAGAAGAACATCTCCAGCTGCCAGAAGTTTCCTTTTCCCAATCAAGATATGAGTGTGATACAATTAAAAGTACTTCACAAGCCTCTCTGTGACTAAACACTTGCTATGTTGTGCAGCTTTGTAGTAACAGAAAAACAGGCTTAGAGACCTGATGCATCCCATGCAGAATACCGTTCTGAACTCCAAAGATGACTTGGGATCAAGGTTTTCAGCCACAAGCCACCTCGCAGGTATATATCAGAAATTGAAGAAGTATTGGAACCTCCTAATATGAAGAACATGTGGGAATGCAATCCTTTATCCAACTCTGAAAGAGCCTTCACCATCTCAAGAAGATGAGAAAGGCTGAAAAGGGGAAGGGAAGGGCTCTTGAAATGCCAAAGAAATGAGTACTTCCAGGTACATTCAATGATTTATAAAGAAAATATCTACATTTGCAAAGAAATAATGTCAGGGCTTACCTGAGGAACACCTGACTTGGCCAGAGGCAGCTCCTAATAAAGAAAGAAGAACAATGGCTAATACACTGCACCACAATTCATCTCCCTCCTCACAGATGAGGCCCCTACACCCGTGAAGCAAGAGCACCAACTACGGATCAATATTCACTTTCAGAAAACATCCGAAAAAGGCACTCTAAGAACTTATTAACAAAGGAAACCCTTAAAAAGATGCCAACATGGAGAATATGAACTATTGGTCAAAAGTCATCGAATATTGAAGGACATCCTGTGACTAACACGTTCTTCAGGCACAATCAATACACCGGCCACAGTGGGACCACAGAGTAACTCTTCATCCGTGGAGAAGCAGCACTACTCGGCTCGGTTACGGGAACTGATTGTGCAGTAGAAGCTGGCTATGCTGAGTTATGCTTTCCCAGTATTTCAATTGCCTTCAGCCACCAAAATCTATCAAAGGCAATTATGTTATTACAGCAGGGTAAAATAGGCCAATGGAAGCTAAGGTACTACTTTCAAAGAGTTGCTCTAAGAAGAAATAAGCAAATATACAAGGAGCTCTTCTCGAAATTGGCCCTGTACCAGAGGGAGATGAACGCTGAACACTAAGAACAGAAGATTGGTGCCCCTAAAACTAAAGGGCTTCAGGAGAGATGAGAAAAAACACATAAAATTACTTCAAATGTATGCAGGAAGTCAGAGATCAAGACTAAGAGGGATGTTTTTCTCTTTTCCTCATTTTCAAAGAATATTTTATAATCTTGAAGGATCAAGATCATTGAATCTGTGTATTATTTCCCACTTGAGAATGATCAAAGACAGAGATTTTAATAGAACCTCCCTCCACTGCACCCAAAACTAGACCAGCCTCCTTCGTGCAAATCTTTTTCAAAAAACAAGCACACCCGCCTTGGGTTCAATCCCAGCAGTGCAAAAACCATCAATAAAAAACAGAGGGAATAGCATAAGGCAGCACATATCTGGTGCTATAGATCTGCTACTTGGGTTTCAGTTTTAAAGTTGGGGAAAAGATATAGACTTAGATATAGATATATGTAGATATATATGTATGAACATTGTCTCAAACAGCCTCAATTTTATGACTATAATTATAACAATGTAAGAAATACTTGATACCTTTTTTGCCAAAATAGCAAGTGGTTTATTCCCCGCTAAGTCAGAGAACCAACTATGAATTGCACTCTGAGATCGAGCAGTAACCAGCCAATAATTATCCTTAGCATTAACTTGGGGTTTCTTCTTTCCGGTATCCTGGAAAGTGTTAAGCTTTAGTTTTTCAGCTAATATGCTGCTAAAATAAGCTCCAATCTGTGGAAAGAAAAGGAAAAAGGAAAAGGTTTGAAGACAACAAGCATCTCAGCATCGTATATTTTATCTTTATTGCTTTAGTTGAAAATATTCACATAGTTCACATACTCTATCAGAAAATAAAACAGTAATTTCCAAGAACTGTGGTTGTTATATGCCAACAGAACACAAAAACTCACACAGCACCTTTGTTTCACTATTCACAAGTAGTTGGGGGAATAAAGAACCTTCAGAAACCTCTCCTAAGATAAAACTGATTACACCATGAATAAATTTCAGGAGAATGGGTTCTAGCTATACTATCTTCAGCTGTACTTTCTTTTTTTTCACACTACACACCAAGTAGGAGAGAACATAATCACACAATATCATTCTTTTCTTTGGTGCATCAAATAGCATATACTTTTGGAAAGGTAATTTCTTTTTACACTTGATGTTTTAAAAAAAAAGAATCTAGGGAATTGTATTGTTATGGTTTACATCCAGATCCCACTAAACCTCATGGGATCATACGTGGGACCTTTTGAAACTAGGTTTTCAGAAACTAGGTTACAGGATTACAGTTGACTTGCTGTTAGGAGCGGACAACTCAAAATAAATGGATCACCGTAGGTATGACCAGAAAGGGTGTCCAGCTCCCAGTCCAGCTCCTCCCTTGACATTCTCTGCTTCCCGGGCACAGGAGGTGAGCAGCTTTTCCTCCAGCATGCCTGTCTGTCATGCTGTTTCTTCTTGGGAGCCAGCAGATTGACCGTGGACTGAATCGTGAGCCACAATAAACCTCTCCTCCTTTAAACTGTGGGTGGGGGTACTGAGTCTCAACAAGGAGGAAAGCACTAAGACATTTATTTAAATGCTAAAATACAAAAGGTTCAATCAGATTGGGTATACAAGATTTTTGACTGCCCTGTCAGTGCCCGGAATACTACTGTTTCAAGAGAAAAGTAGTGTTACCTTGTCTGGGGCGAGATGGTAAAGGGAACTTCTGCAAACTATTCTGTGATTTTCCTACTATCCAAATTATAAGATGGACAAGGAATGTAGAAAGGGACAAGAATAAAATAATACCTCAAATTTCAGTCAATTTAGAAAATCTATTGGAATCTTCAAGAATCTTATAAAAGCATCACAGTTGATCCCAGGAATTTTTAATAATATGATCACAGTCAACAATTTCTAATGAGTGCCCCCCAAAATATAGCAAATGGTGACAATTACAAAAGATAAACTATTTACCCTAGTAAAACAAAAGAGAATTACCACCTTACTTAATACTTATAAGGCAAGAAAAAAATCTGTAGGTTGGAACACAGTTGTAAACTATTAGCTCAGTTTATCTACCAGAATGAAAAGCTGGTATAATTTTTTTTCCTTTTTAGTGCGAAGAGGCATTCCCTGATCCTTAACTGATGTGATTAAGAAGTCAGCATGCTGACATAACATGATAGTAAAAACTGGTGAGTAGAAAAAAAATAAGCCTGAGCTTTTCTTTTCGTAAACAACTTCATTGTACTTATTTTGTTTTAAGGGAATGTTTGCAGAACTTCCAGTGAACACGCTAAGTGCAGAATCACTGTAAACACACAGCCAATAGGCCAGGCATGGTGGCACATGCCTGTAATGCCAACTCTCTGCTGAGGCAGAAGGATCACCATGAGGTCGAGGCCAGCCTGGGCTACATAGTCAATTCAAGGCCGCCACTACAAAGTGAGAACCTGTCTCAAAAAATTAAATAAATAGATTAGATGGCTAGATAACAGATAACATGCAGCCAACAGTCGGTTGTTTAATCTTGAATTTTTCATTTGATAAGGTATTTGGGCTTTGCACCTAAGGGGGTAAAAAAACCTACCACTACAGATTCCTTTATATTTAAAAGCTCTCTTATTTGCAATTATGTACGAGCACTTTAATCATAATACACAAAGAGATTAAATAAAAAAGTACTCTGAGCAATTCAGTTGGTAACTATACACTCTTCTATGTATTTGATGACAGCAACAGAACATGGTGACCACATTTTTTATTTCCTGCAAACAGGCCTTCTAAACAATGCGTAACTGTAAACAAAGTCAAAATCCCCAAACAAGAGAGGAGAAAAAGCACATTAGGCCTCAAAATAATCAAAACCTAATTATAACAGTTAATTTTATTATAATAATATATATACACATGATATGTGACAAATCAAAATATTTAAGAGTCTCACTCCAAATCCAAATGCTATCTTCAAGTAATCATTTGATTAGTTTTCTCCAGTGTCTCCTCTAGTGTTTAAGTGAACACACGAGTAAACACATTCATCATTTTTCTCTTTCTTGTACGAAAATATACACTTAGGATGAGCCTTCCATGTTTTTATATGCAAAGCTTCTTCATTCATTTTTATAGATCTACAGTCATTATCATGTGCACATACCACTCTTCATTCAGTCAAGCTACTGTTAACGGACAGCTGGAGCATCTGTTCCAAAATTTTATTAAATCACGTTAAAATAAACAACCTTTCACATTTGTTATTTCTAACATATGCAAATATAGCTGTAGGATAAATTTCCATAATTCAGACTGTAGGATTCTATGATTTTAGTAATCACTGCCAAATTGCCTTTCAAAAGGTTTATAGCAATTTACAGCCTTACAAAAAAAGGTGCAAGATTAAATTTCGCTGGGTGTTCTGACACACATTTGTAACCCAGCACTGAGGAGGCTGAGGCAAGAGGATAGCAAGTTCAAGGCCAGCCTTGGCTACGTATGGAGATCAAAGCCAACCTGGACCTCATAGCTAGATGCTGTCTCAAAAAATAACAAATTTTAAAAATTTGTTTGAATATTTCAAGCTTGTTTCCATTCACTCAAAGCTATTCACTATTTAGAAAATATTTCATTTAGTAAGAATATGGGGAAAAAAGCTTATGAGTTACACAGTCATTCACATATTTCTTATTTATGACATCAAAGTCCTCTCAGAAAGCTTGAACCCTTGAATAAATCTCACAGGAAAAGTGATCAAACTCATAATCCAATTACTTAAAATTGGCATAAACTTGATACCAAGAATGGAAACCAATGCAGCAGTCCCTATCACGCATGCACTCTTCTGTGGACTGCATTCTGCCTCCCCAAACTCCCACGTCAAAGCCCTCGGCCCCAGTGTGACCTCATCTGAAGAGAGAGCCTTTAAGCAGGTATTCAAGGTTAAATGAGGTCCTGTGGGTGGAAACTCTAATCAGTACGCCCCTTTCCTCATAGGAGGAGAACACACCAAGGACGACCTCACACAGAGGAAAGGCCGTGTGAGAACGGGGGAGGAGGCAGCCAATGACAAGAAACACCTTCATCTCGGTCTTGCAGCACTGGGCTATGAGAAAAGAATTTCTCTCCTTTACACAACCCAGTCCGGGTATGCTGCTCTGCAGCCCAAACAGAATAATAAACCTGCTAACCAAGTAATATGCTTCTGGGAATTTATCCTAACAAACAAAAGCTATTTGTTCAAATATGACTATAACTTCTCTATGAATAACTGTAAGAAACTGGCAACATGCTAACTGGCATATACAGAGGTTTCGGTCAATTACAGCGCATAAATAATGGAACGCTATCTACTCATAAATTATTATTATGACTATTTCAGCCAAAAGAAAAAGGGTCGATAGATGAGTAAAGGAAGATGAAAAAGTCCTGGAGGTAAGTGGCTACACAGCAACATGAAATTACTTAAATGTCCAAGAACCATACCTGTAAAAAAGGTTAAATGGTAAATGTTATGTTTCATAATTTTAAAAAGACATAAAGTACATACTCATAACTGTACTTGTAACATAAAGGGTACACAAACTGGAAAAAGACAAACCGAAAAACATTGTGTTTGATCAAAGGGACCATCTGCAGAAAATGGTATTTTCTTTCACACGTCTTAAATAATACTTCAGTTAATATCTTAAGAAATTATCAATTATTTAAGTGTTTATGTGTACATGTATGCACATAAAAAAGGACTCAGAATAATACACAGACCTTTAACGTGTATCTCTGCAGAAGGGAAAGTGTAGAAATTTACCTATTTTTTTTTATTTCTCATTTGAATGTTTGATGTTTTTAATTTTATAACAATGAAAGTATTTTAATATTCACATATAAAAATACTTTTCAAAAGTTTAAAACTCCATGAAAGAATACAAAAACAATTCTAATTACATATATAATTGTTTACAACCACAGAAAACAACACATTTAACTCAGGAAATTTTTTTAAATTTTGACTATATATTTACTATATAACATTTTAATATATATTTAAGTCTAAGACAAAAAATACTCTGGAAAAAGCATAACTTTTAGGTAATAATTTTGTATTTGGACTGGCACTGGTATAGTTTGTTCTGGAACTTCATCATGTGTGTCATAAGATACAGCAAACAAATACATACCTATGTTCATACTGTAGAGCTAGGGTTTTCATTTTGGAAGAAGGAAGATAAAGACAAAGCAAGACAAGGAAATAATCTACGGTACTGGTAGGTAGGTAAAATAGATAAATAAAGAAAAGTATGTGCATTAGTTTGCCATCTCTGTCCACAATAAGGCCTAGAAGTAATGACACTCCCATAGCAGTGAGCATGCTATCATCCAGGGATGAAGCAGGACAGAAAGAAAAGACGACCCTGGAATGTTTTTGTGCCTAAAGGAAGGAAGTTCTCAGAAACTGATGGAGATGTTTAACTTAGGACCAGGTAAAAACAGACCCCACTGGTCAAACATGGGACAATCTGAACATCCAAAAGAAAACTGCTATAATGGTAATGAATCATAACGTATTAAATTTTAGAAAAAACTGGGTAAAACTAGAAGAATCGAAAGTAATACTTTAAAAATGTACAAGGAAGTTCTTCTTTACAAAAGAATGTCAACTAATACATGCATGATTCCACTGGATGACAATAAAGCCAAAAAATAATAATAATTCTTGAAGTATGACACTTAGAAATCCAGCATTTTCCAACTATAAGCTAATAAGTCATTCAGCAGGAATCATCAATGGTCCTAAAATTATTAGGTGAAATTTACTGGAGAAGATAATAGTCTCATGGTGTCAAAAGTATCACTAACATCGCTTCTCAGCCTTTTGGCTAAGATCAAGTGTAGTATCTGTTCTTATCAGTTTAAAAAGTATCACTGACAATGATATATTTAATCTGATATAAACATTACATGGTGTGTACGTATATTGAAGCAACACACATACGCCTCATTATTTGTACAAACTTATGCCCTTGTGTATCAGTTAAACATAAAATAAAGAGCCAGGCATGGTGGCATACCCCTGTGATCCCAGTACGCAGGAGGCTGAGGCAGGAGAATCATTACGAACGAGTTCAAGGCAAGCCTGGGCTACAAAGTGGGCTCAAGGCCAGCCTGAACTGCATAGTGAGATCCTATCTCAAAAAGACAAAAAATAAACAAATAAAGAGCATTATGAAAATGTTATCACTGTGTAGGGACTGGAGATGTCACTCAGTGATAAGACACACACTTAACATGCTTGAAGTTCTAGGTTCAATCTCCAGCATATGAAAACATTAAAAAAAAGCAAGGGAAGGTGGACAGTACGGTACTAACTCAGATAGTCCACTGACATGATAGCTAATACAATCCCTGACTGGATCCTGAGGCAGGACACTACACATGAGGAAATTCTGAATGAGGACTGCGGTTTAAATACCACCAATTTATCAGTATTACTATCTGTCAAGGGTATTACAGACACTTTTGCAGAAGTTATGGGGAACAGATAATTAGCATTACCTTTGATGGATTAATTACAATATTTCTGGCAGAGCCATGTTCATCTCCAGTGAAGGCTGGCTGATTGTTGAAGCCTTGCTTTACATTCACAGCAGTAAGTTCATCCTATTCAAAAAAAGGTATTGATTAAGCAAAGAGACTGAAAGGTTTCACTTTCATACAGACACTGCAGCCTAAGTAAGAGCTAGGTTTGATGCACTCTGTAAGAGAAAACCATTAAAAAGAAAATAATCAAGAGAACAAAAAGTGGAGATTTTACCATCATGTAAACACATAGAGAGAAAGGTCAGTGTGGCAAGTTAGTCTTTTGTTTTTTAGTTCAGGCTGGCCTTGCACTCACTTTGTAGCTTAGGCTGGCCTTGAGCTCACAGTGATCCTCCTGTCCAAGCTGCCTTAGTGCTGGGATTACAGGCATGAGCCCAGAAGCAAGTTACTGTTGACTCTAGGTATAGGGTGATGGGTATTTGTTGTGCCATTCTTTTAGCTTTCTCTAAATTTGGACATGTTTAACTTAAAAGTTCAGAAAAAGAAAAAAGAACTCAGGGAGAACACTATGAAGCAGCCCTGAGCAGGACTTAATCTTTTCATGTTCACTGTGAATCTGTCGAAGGCCTAGGCTCCTTGTCTGGAAATGGATGATGGACTCATAGTAAGTGAACCTCTGGGACTCACTAATCCCTGCTAAAAACCTGTAGTGGTGATGAAGCTGGAAAGCCTCAAAGGATAAGACAAGACTACAGCCAAGGACACCTGGATCAGATCTCAACTAGCTAAAGACTATAGCCTCAGGCATCTCACTCCTGGGTGGAATAACTTAATACCTTACTTGGAGAAGTCCTTGATTAATCCCACTCCTCTTGAGAGCTCCCCTCCCTTCTTTTGATAACCAAATAAATATGGGCCACTCAGAAGAAGGTCTTGGTCTCAGTTCTAAGAGAATCTCAAATTCTCTGAGAGGGCTTTGACCCACCTGGGGCCCTGAAATCATTCCATTTGCATGTTTTATTCAGCTTTCTCCATAAACTGGGTCGGGAGATTGCAGACCTGATCAGACTACAATAACTAAAGGATATTATTAACCCAATAAAAACAACTCCCGCCATTCGAAATAAAAATCATAGTTTTTGAACTGGAGTTGTTCATGAGGGCCCACAGTTTAACTGTCCCTTCCTTGTTAGCCTCTACTTTATGTTCCAGAAAGCTGGCGCACCCATTTTACCCAAGCCCTCACGGCGAGTTAAAGACAGATAGGAAGGGTGCCCAAGAAAAGCTTTGTGTTTCTTACCACACAACACACAACTTCCACTTGGAGGGACATTTAGAGCTTACCCAAGTGTCTTTACACACTTTAGCTCACTTGATTTCTACCATCTCTGAGAAAGGCAGCAGGCATGTATTTTCATGCTCATTTAACAGATGAGAAAAGTAAGGCTCACAAAGCCAGCACAGCAACTGGGCAAAGCCAGCGCTGAAATACTATCTTCTAAATTCTAGACTACAGAGAGAAATTTCCATGCCACCATGTCACCAAAGAACAAATGTCACATGAAAATGTGGTCTAAAAATACAAAGCTACAACTCCTACACTCCTTGAAAAGATTTCCTAGTGGATAGATATAGGAAAACTTTCCAAGGTCACAACACATCAAAAATAACACAGCCTTTAAAAAAATAAATAACCTCTTTGCCCTGCCCAGATTATCACTGGGTTATGGAACCAAATCAGAGTCCCTAAAATAGAGACTGAAAGAATAAGAGGAGAGGTTGGCGGAGATGAAGCTACTTTCTCCTCCACTCACTCAAAGCTAAGAAATGGTCTTAGTGACAGCTGAAGTCATAGTTGCCACAGCACAAAAATACGAACATACCTTATCCTCCACCAGTAATTGCTGCAAGTAGAAAATGAAAAAAAAAAAAAAAAAAAAAAAAGCAACAGCTCAAAATCATTACTATGACAGTCAGGAATTTTTAGGATATAAAAGAGTTTGTGACATTTAAGCAGCGGACCAGTAAAGAAAGGTCACCTTGCCTGAGAACTGAGGCCCCCTGGAGATACGCCATGTAACTTTACTTAATTATGTGTGTTCTTACTAATACCTTGGCCAGCCACTGGTTTGGCGGGCTTTCAAAAGACCCTGCTGCAGGAAATTTAGTTCTATGGTAATCAAGTCTCCTCCAAGCAAACAAGGTCACTGAAATTGTGATCCACACAGAAGATGAATTGCTAGCACATAGCAGAAGACATCTCAAACTGCCCCCACGTTTTCAAATTAATTGTTTAAAAATTCAGGTCAAAACTACATAATGCATATTTTTAAGTCAGAAAGATTTCAGTCAACTTAAATAAAGGAAAGAGTAACAAAATTTTCTGTAGTCTCACAGTGAACAGGTACAAACAAGATCATGAGGGGAGTATGATGAGAAAATTAAATATGCATTTACCTTTGATTTACCACTGCATAATTAAAACAAACATTAACTGAGTAACACCATATGTTTTTACTAAAAATATATTCTGGCTTAATCAAGAGGAAATGTTTAAGGCTTTCAGGATCAGCTAGTCCTACCTAGCGCTGCTCCACTCTGTATTCTAAATGGATACTGGCTCAGTTAACTGCTCACTATATTTGACTACTGATCACTTGAGGTCAGCTTCTTACAGAAACTAAGTAAAAGTTGATAAAAAGCAAGAGCATCAAAATTTATATCCTCTAAAGTCTATTCTCTAAAGTTTCCAAAATGAGTGAGGATGGAGAGCAAAAGTCCAGTGAGTTAAGCAAGATTCAAACGCCAGAGTGTATCACTATCATTGCTTAGACTCCAAGAATGCACCAAGAGACTCCTTTAAGGGAAAGCCATTGTCTCCAACCTGAAAACGTCTTCAGACCTGACCTGGGAAAGTGGGTTAGGATACTGCACACCTAATGGCACTAAAGGCTTCAAGAGAGGCAGAAGAAAAGGTCCCTTGTTACATAAAAATCAAACAAATTTTTTTTCTTTTTTACTTTTGGTAGTGGTACTGGGGATTGAACTTGGGAACCTTTTTATTTATTTATTTTTTTTTTTTTAAATGTCTCTCTGAGTCACTAAGTTGCCCAAGCTGAGCTCACACTTGTGATTCTCCTGCCTCAGCCTCCCAGAGTGCAGGAATTACTCAAAGAATAAACGTTTATGTCACTGTTCTGTAGATCTTTGCCAAGTCTATTTAAAAACAGCAAAGAGAAAGTCCCAATTTTAAACAGCATGCTTCTAAAACTCCTCAAGCCAGAATCTGTAAGGGACACAAAGAGTTTCTCTCTTCAAAGATTTTTTTTTAAATAAAAGAGAGTAACAAGCATCAAAATTCTTGCAATGGCTTTTGTTAGAGACTTCAACTTGTCCTGCCAAAGCGCGAGCCAATCCTCATAACAGATCCATCAGCGGCTACTTTGCCTATTTGCAAAGGTGAAACAAATAAAAGTGAAAGGCCAGGGTGCACACACAACAGCCAATCAGTAGCTACTTTTCCTAGGTCTGCGCTCCAGGCACTAGAGCAGCAGTCCTGAAACTTGTCCTGCGAAAAGAATTCCATATTAAAGGCTGAAACTATTTCCTCTGTACCATATGAAAAATACATATATATATATATATATATATATATATATATATATATATATATATATATATAACTTTTTAATAACCAATGGCAGGGATTCATGATTTCACAAACAGTTCTAAATGTATTTACAATTAACCACATCTAGGGCAGAAAAGTTGTCCACACATGTGTAAGACCGAGCATTTACTCAGTCAGGAGACAATAGATTATGTCTATTATGGAGGTTATGGCAAAAACAGACACTTGTATTTCTTTTTTGCCATTGGCTTCAACTAAAACACAAGTCGTAGAGCAATTCTAGAGAAACAGATATCCAGACAAACAGAAACAAATGCCTGGAAAATAGCCCACATTAACGTGTGAGGCCAGCACTCACTCTGCATTTTCATACTCTATACCAGGGGTGGCGAACCTGTGGCACACGCACTGCAACTGGCTGTTTGTTATCACTGAAAGCTCCAAAAGGTTTGCCATCATTGCGCTACTCTGTTAAAAAAAGAAGACCCTTGACGCTCTGGTTACAATCCAAATGTATCCATAAATCTCATGCATTTACCTTGAACTTCAAAGAATGATCTTATTTTTGGATCACTTTCAAAGCCATCTTTTTATTTCAATAAAATATTTCACTGGGAAAATCAAAACACTTGATGCTATTTAGAAATTGTTTAAGCTCTTACTCCAGAAACAAAAAAAAGCTCAGCTTAGCACCATTTTCAATGAGCATCAGGTCAAATATATGGTACAGAGACACATATGCAAGGGCACATACTCATTCTTAACCTCTCCCAACTTCAATATCTAATGCACAGAACGCGTGCTGACCTCCCCACTGCCTCAGGCGCCTAGTCATCGAACAAACTAACTGAATGACCACTCCATGAATTAGACAGAAATGTCCACCAGGAATGACAATGACACAGAAGTAGAAAAATGTAACTGTGCTTGCCAATCTGAGTGCGTTAACACAGATCTTATTCAGCATTTTTTTTACACAGGGTCACCCTAAGTTGCCCAGCTTGACTTCAAACCAGCAAACCCTCCCTATTACAATTACAAGCATACACCATCACCTCCAGCCAAAATGAAACTTCTAAAAAGTTTTATAAATGCTCCTCCCAGCCTTATCCATCACTCCTTTCAAGAAGTCTTCTCTCAGGCCCCAAAGGACGCCTGCAGACCCTAGTTTCAAAAACCGAGCTACGATAATCTCTAGGATATATTTAATGGTCATTAAACAATACTTAAAGTTACTGAATATAAAGGACCAAGTGCATAAAGGAAGAATCTTTTACCCTCCTACTTCATGAACCAATCCTAACCATGCCTCTCTCAAAACATGTCTCACATTTATTTCTTCCTTTAAAATACATTATACAGCACTCAGGAGGCTGGGCAGAAGTATCATTGTGAGATCGGGACGAGCCTGGGCTACAAAGTGAGCTCAAGGCCAGCCTGAACTGCACAGTGAGACCCTGTCTCAAAAAGACACACACACACACAAAAA